TGGCCCCTGGCTCTGCATGGGTCACCCCCTGAGGGGATGCTCAGGTCTGAGCTTGGCTGGAACACCAGGGTAGGGAAGAGGGTAGTGTGGGGTGTCCTCCTGGGGACAAGCCCCAGACAGGAGACCTGCTGCTGGCCTTCCTGGGTCCCTGGCACCCTTCCTCTCCATGCCTCAGTTCCCCTGCCTGCAGTTGTGGGAGCTGGGAAAATGCCACAGGATGTGGGAGGCAAGAAGGGGCTCGAGCTACAGAGTCAACCCAGACTCTGGCCCGCTGGAGATCCAAGAGGAGGACTCAGCTGTTGTCAGGGACTCAGGACCCCTCTCACCACACCAGAAAGACCCATGCTGAGGGCTGGGAGAGGCCTCTCTTCCTCAGCCCTGGCCACCCCTCCCCTAGGCACCAGGTCCACCCTAATGTCTGACTCCCTCCCTGAGCCCTAGGGCCACCCTAAGGAAAATGCCATCTCTTCTCCTCTGCTGTCTCCTCCCCTCTACTGTCCTCTCCCCTTTTGTCTCCCCCCTCCCCCGCATCCTGATGTCCCCTTCCCACTGATGCCCACGCAGCGCCCACCCCTCCTCACTCCTCCAGGCTTCACCCCACTGCCCTGGCTACAGCTGCCCATGCCCAGCTTCTACCCCCACCAGGCCTCAGTCCTTCTCAGCCTTGTCCTGTTTCTCCAGCACTTTCCCCTCCAGCCTCCATGGCTTGTTTCTTGCTGGCCTCTCCACTCCAGCATCCATGCCAGCCAGGACATCAGGGACTGCATGTTCTGTTCATGGTGCCCCTGCACCTGGCATAAAGCACGCCCTCAGGGACTGTTTGCCAAATGAATGAATGAATGAGTGAATGAATGAATGATTGAAAAAGCTGCAGTGATTCAGTGGAGATCATGCACACCTGGGTTCTAATCCTATGTGCACAAAGCCACCTCCTGTGGCCCTGGGTGTGGGCCATTCACCTCTGTGGGCCTCAGTCTCCTCTCCTGTGAAATAGGTTCTTCACAGGGTCTAGGGAGACAAAAGGGGCCTGAGGACTGAAAGGCCATTGCCTCAGGCAAGGTGAGCTGGGGATAAGGGCAGCAGGGGCTTCCCAGGATGGGCTGAAGGACTGAAGGACAGAGGCGTGGGGGAGGCCCCGTCAGAGCCCACCCCGGCCTGCCCCAGCCCTGCCCTCTCAGGAACCTGCCTGTGGTAACCTGGGGGAGGCCCAGTGGCCCTGCTGACCTTCTGCAGGGCTGTCTGCTCCCTGTGCCAGGCCACCCTCCCCCAAAACAGGCCCCCACCTCTCCCTCCATGCGGCTTCATGAGAAGCACCGCGAGGTTTGGGAACAGCCTCAGATAAAGTTGTCACAGCGGATGCAGCGGAGATAGGGTTTCTGATGGTTATCGGCGGGCACAGAATCCAGACACTGACCTCTTTGTTGGGGAAACAAGGAGTGTTCTCAGATGCACCCAGAGAATTTAAAGTGGCCGCCCGTTATCCCGGGGCTGGGTGGGGCCGGCCTAGAGCCAGGAGGGAGGGACAGGGGCGACCCTGAGGGGCTGTAGGCAGGGCAGACAGGGCTCCTCTCTGACTCCTGATAGGGCCCAGAGCAAGCTGGACCCAGACTGGGCACCCAGCCTGGGGGCACCCATGGAGGGAAAGCAGCTGGCAGCACACACGGCCCTGCTTTTGGCAGAAGAGCCAGGAGGGGTTGTGAGTAGCCCCTCCCAAGCTTGCACCCTGCTGCCCATGGGCAGGGCAGGCCAGGCCAGGAAGGGGGCCTGCCTCAGCCCAGTGCCTTCACCACCAAAGGGCTTCTGTTCTCCGGCTGCTCGGAACTGGGGAGAAAAAAGTAGAGAAAAAAGAAAGAAAATAACTAAGGGCCAGCCCCATGTTGTGTGAGCCCCTCCACAGGGGAAGCAGAGACTGAAATTTGCCCCTCACCCGATGTCCCCAGCCCCCAGGGCTCAGCGTGCTGGGGGCAGGGAGGTGGCCTTCAGGGTGCAGCCAGCAGGCATGGGGGTCCAGCTGCCTGGTACAGGGCAAAGGGCTGGCTCAGGGCTGGCTGGGCAAGGCCATGCTATACTCCCCAAGAGCCAGGGGGGAGGAGTGGCCCCTGCAAGCATGTGCTGCCACTCAGATGGTTGTGCCCCACCCTTTTCCAGCCTTCCCCATTTAAGTGGGGGGCCAGCCCACCCTGGTGTTAAGGGCTGAGAGAACATGGGGGTGAAAGTCGGTCATAAAGTTCGGGATCTCCTGACCCATTTCCTCCTGGGAATCAGGTGTGGGGTGTAGGACAGAGCCCCCTTTAGGCCCCTGCATCCCCTCCCTCTTCTGCGCTCACAGATAGGGGCTGTCACCTAGCCCGCCAGGGCAGCCACCAAGCACAGGTACTCAATACTCATTGGGACAGAGACGGGCCGCTCCGGGCAGGAGGCACAGAGCTGGCCGGGGCCATGGCGCCGCTGCCTTCCGTCAGCTTGGAACGCACATGGGAAATTAGGGGTTCTGCAGCATCAGCAGAGCTGAGCGCGGGGTTTATCATGCTGCGAACACGCGCTCCTGAGAGTGATAAGCATTAAACCAACCGGGAGGCTGTCAGTCTCAGTTTGAGGGTTTAGAAATATTGGGACGAATAATTAGATTTCATATCGTTACCGTAGCACCCATCGGAGGATCAGGCAGATTAATTTTTTTCACCCTCCTCTACTCATTAATATTCATTAGAGACTCAAGGAGGCCCAGCCTCTGCCTTGCTAGCTGTTAGCCCTGCTGGTTCACCTACCGCTGTGCCAGCAACCCCCCACCATCACCTATTCCACTTTGCCTCAGGCCTGATCCCCCACTGTGGCCTCAGCAGACCTCCCAGCCAGCAGGGACCCCCAGCTGGCACCCAGCTCCCACCCCCTGCTCTGCAGTGTCAGAATCACCAGGTGTCTGTTAAAAGCAGGCCACCTTGTTGGAAATGCCCAAGTTGACATTTAGTGATTGCTGGCCTGGTGCCCCAGTGAACACCAGCCTCCTGGGCCCAAAGGCACAGCCCCTGCCTGGTGTATCCTGCTGGCCAAAGGAAATGCAAAAGCAAGGGGCTTGTTTGTCAATGTGCTGGTCATATATCAGACAGGTGCTGTTCCAAAGGAGGGCTTCACACAGATTACTTCCTCCCAGTGTCCTGGGGGAAACTGAGTCACAGAGCCAAGAATGGGTCCAGAGTGAGCACGCAGACTCAGGCCACAGTTCCAATCCGGAGGGGCATCATCCATTTGCAGAGAGGCGCCGAGGCCCAGGGAGGGCTTCGTGTTACTAGATGGGTAGGGCTCTCCCTGACCCACTGGCCAGCTCTTCTCTGCTCACCTGTTCCATGACTGAGCCATGTGGCTGCTCCAATGACCATGGTGCCCCGACTTGGCTGGGAGTTCAGGCATATTGGCCTGATCTCCCTGGGCCCCTGAGTCTGCCACAGGATGGGGACAAGATGCAGAGGTGGTCAAAGGGGCTATTGAGGGGCAATGCCCTGCCCAAGGTCACAGTGGGAGAGGTCAAGGCTGGACTGGACCCTGACAGCCAGCTCTGGAGCCCCTGGAGTCCCCACAGCCAAAGCACAAGAGAGTGCCATGGGCTTGGACCTGGCAGGGAGGTTCCTGGAACCCATCAGAGGACACCCCACACACCATCCCTTGCCCTGGCTGTCCCACCATGGCAGCATCCCCACCAACTGCCATGTGCACCCATAGGGTGCACAAAACCACCACCATCTAGGCGGTAGCATTTCCAGGTGACAGCAAGTGACACTGGTTCTTCAGTTAAAGTTTCTAAAGCATTTATTTGCATAAAACAAAATACCCAAATGTTGACGTGTGCCATACCTTTCCATGCGGGACTCAGTTGCTAAGCTTGGGGACCTCCAGGCAGAGGGGCCCAGAACCAGGGTCCAGTGCTGGGGCAGAGGCCTGAGGGGCAGCAGTGGTCACCCAAACCTCTTTAGGCAAAAAGGGCCATGGTTCTGCTGCCCACCAGCCAGCCCTGGATCTGCACCACAACACCATGTATAATCAAGAGCTGGGCCAGAGGGGGGCTGCAGGCGGCCCATCCCAGCCAGCCATCTCCAGGCACCAGGCTGCTTTGGGACAGGGGGCGTGTGTTTCCTCTGCTCTGCAGGGCTCCGGAAATCAGGCCACCCCCTCTGAGGCCCAGCGGGCAGCAGCCCTGAGGGCCTAACCCAGAACACTCTTTCCTTCCGGATGCTGCAAAGGCCAGCTTGCAGGCCAAGCTGGGAGAGAGGACATTGCTGGGCAGGGGCAGGGGCAAGCATGAGCTGTTCTCCCCCTCCTGTCCCTCCCTCCCCATGCCTCAGTTTCCTCACCTGTGACATGGGAGGAGGACACTCCCTGCTCTCCAGGCTGGCCCAAGGCCGGGTGGGCAAGGGGCTGGCCTCTGGGAGCCACAAGGATGGGGCCAGGTACTGAGCCAGCTTCAGCATGGGACATTGTGCTGCCTGGGAACCTCAGTGAGCGGCTGGGCCCAGGTGTTGAGTGTCTGCCATGTTCTGGCCCCAGGATGGTCTGAACAAAAGTGGGCCTGCCCTGCAATGGGGAGGGAGCCCCAACTGTCTGGGAGGACGTGGACACCCCTCCTCATGACCTCCCGTCTCCTCAGGACCAATCTGCCTGTGCCTGGTGCAGCCCCATGTGCCCTGTGGATTTCACCATAGCACCCAGCTGCCTGTTAAGATGGGGGGTAGGAGGGCAGTAAGGAGAGAACACAAGTCTGAGTGCGAATTCCTTCTCTGTCACTGGCTGGCTGTGTGACCTTGGGTATGTCGCTTGATCTCTCTGGGCCTCAGTTTCAAGAGAACTCAGCTCCTGACCCTTAAAAGGTGTCACCAGCACATGATTTGATGTCCAGCCACCCCACCAGGTGGTCTCTTGGGCTTTCCCCCACATACCTTGTGGGGAACCCCCAGCTGGGCTCTTCCCATGCTATGTCCTTGCTGACCCCTCCCTTTCTGCCCCCCCAGAGCCTGGCCCTGACCCTGCTGCTGGAGGATGAGGCCTGCTGGCTGAGGACACTGCCCCAGGCCCTGACGGAGGCTGAGGCCAATGTGGAGATCCACAGGAAGGGTTGGTATCTGGCGCTTCCCTCTCTGCCTTCCGGAAGGTGGATGTCCTTTGGCTCTCCCAGGGCCTGCTCTTAAAGGGAAACCAGCCTGCTCTGGGCCAGGCCAAGGGACTGTCCACACCCCAATTAATGTCCATCTGGGGCCAGACAGATGTCTGCCCTGGAATGGGGGAGCAGGGTCTCAGGAAGCCGGGACCGCTCTCAGGGCCTCTGGGATACCGCCAGGGCAGTGGAGGAACCCAGGCCAGGGAGGCCAGGGGCCCAGCAATGGGTGCCGACTGGACCAGGGCCTGTGCATTTTGGCCCTCTCTTGCCTCCCTACACCTTCTGGAAGGGGGGATCCTGGGGGGAGGGCCTGAAGAGGGAGGAGGGAGAACAAGATGGGGGTCTTCACCCCCCTCACCTTCTCAATTCAGAGTTCAGGCCACTCAGATGCAGGGGCTACCATCTCTATCGCCACAGCCCTGCCTGCCCGGGAGTTCTGATTCCTGAGGAAAATGAAGCATGGCCTCTCCAGTGTGTGAGGATCAGGGGATCAGGGTGTCAGGGTGGTGTGGACCCCTGCCCCCCATTACAAATAAGGAGACTCAGGTCCCAGGGCAGGATGTGGACACATACACGTAGCAACTTCTACAGACAAGCAAGGGCTGTCTGCCACATGGCCACCAAGAAGGGCTGTGCACCTACTGACCACAGAAAACAAACCTCATTCCCCTGCGGGAGCCTCCACTTTGCTAAAATGCTCTGGGGTGTCACCATCGCCTCCACTTCCTAAGCACACAGCACATTTGGCTAAACACTCCAGTGCAGGCAAAGCTCTGTCCTGAAAATGGCTTTGGTTTCCAGACAGGGCCAAAGGCCATTGTGGATAGGCAACGGCCCTGTGACCAGCTCCTCAGCCCAGCCCCTACCCATCTGGGGAATGCTAGGGCCTAGAAGGGGTACAGAATGGGTGCTGGGCTCAGCATCAGGGCACCTGGGCTTTCCAACCCACCCTGCTGTCAACCCCATGCACCTGGGCCCAGTGTTTCACCCTCTATACCTCAGTTTCCCCATCCACAGGTGGGGGAGAAAACCCTGGCTCCTTCCCACCAAGGGGTACCCTAAGGACTCAGAAAGCAGCTAGAGGGCTGGATATTGGCAGCAAGTAGTCAGCCATGAGATTATATACCCAGCCAGGATGTGGGTCAGTTAAAGCTACCTGCCCAGCCCTTCTTCCTAGCCCGATCAGCAGGACTCCGGCCACCTGTGTCTGCCCAGGCAGGACAAAGGTCCTTGCAGCTAGTGAGGTGGCCTTGTGCTGGACACTGGAGGTGGACAGTTGGGCAGCTCTCCAGGGTCCTGTTGGCCAAGGCTGCCCCCTGCAGGCCACCTTGGGAATAGTGCACCAGCAGAGTTTAATGGAGCAGGCAGGCTGGTCCAGGGCCTGGCCCAGTTGCTACTAGGCCCTCCCCAGGCACTCTGCCACCTGTCCCACATGCCACCCCTCTCCTGGAAAACAGGGCAGCTCTGCTGGTCACCCTCAAGTTCTACTTGATGGGCTCAGCTCAGGGCAAGGAAGCCCAAGGCTTGGGCAGGCCTGGGGGACCACCCAGTTGCCCCAGGGAGGCAGGACAAATTGTTGTAGAAACTGACCAGCCACAGCGGTTCCACCAGGCATGGCCACTCCCTGACCCTGACCATGGCCTTGGCTCTATCCCCTACCCCAAGCTTCAAAACTCTGGTCTCTAAGATGAGGCGCTCAGGAGGGTATGAGGGGAGTCTTTGCAGAGCTGCTATGATGGGCCCAGGGCTGCTGGCCCTCCCATCACAGGTGCCCTTACCCCTGCAGATGGAGCACTTTGGTGCAGGCTCACCAAGCCAGTGCCAGCAGGCGGACTGCTGAGCGTATTTCTCGTAGCGGAGCCCCACAGCACCCCCAGCCACCCTGTGAAGAAGGAACCAACAGAGCCCGAGTGCCTGGCTCCCTCACACACTGACATCCAGCTTCTGCCCCAGCAAGCCGGTATGGCATCCATCCTGGCCACAGCGGTCATCAACAGTGAGTAGCACCCTCGTGCCACCCCGGGTGCATGGGAGGGCCAGCACAGGCCCCAGGTGTAGAGCTGCAGGTGGTACTCAGGAGCTCAAGATCTGCAAAGATCTGTGACCACTGGGATCTGAACAGAGGAGGAACTGTGCTGCAATAGACATGCTTGGGGAGCTTGAAAGGTGGGGGTGAGAGGACGGGGCTCCAGGCTGCAGCCAGCACATAGGAACAACATGGGTGGCCCACAGGTGGGGCAGCCCTGAGCAGGCTGCAGGGAGGCAGGGCAGCAGCTTGCGCCTAGCTCTAGCACGTAGGCAGCAGGGTCCTCAGGGTCTTACACTGGCAAAGGCCCAGCGAGCAAGAGCAAACCTGAGCCCATGCCTCCCTCTTTGAAGCAGAGCTGGTTTCTCTGTTTCTCCACCTCTGCTGACATGTGGATCGCCCCTGGTCCTACCCACTAAACACTGGTACTGTGCCCACTTCTCAGCACACACTAAGCCTCGGAGTTGTGAGAATTAAATAGGCTTCACTCATACCACAAATACTTGTTTAACTTCCACACTGAACCAAGCAGTGGAGGCACCAGGGTCACCGAGGTGGGGTGTTGGCCCACCCTGAAAGGATCAGTACACCAGAGAGGTGACCTTACTTGGAGGTGATGGCAGCAGCCGTAGGCAAGGGTACATCCCATGAAGGAAAGCAGTGACAGGATCCGACAGTGGCAGTTCTACTTTAATTGAGGTATTCAGCAAAGCTGCTCAGACAACAGAACAGTCAGGTTCAGACCTACACGCCAGGAAAGAGCAACTGAGTGGTGGCCCACTGAGGCCCAGGGGGTGGTCACTGTGGTTGGAGCCTGGCAGTGTGGCAAACGCAAAGGGAGCAAATCTCTGAGGGTGGTTCTGGGCAAGAATGGGATTTCTTCTTAGAGCAATGAGGTCTCACTAAAGGCTTCGAACAGCAAAGGGTGTGATCCAACTTGGTTTTAAAATCACCCTGGCTGCTGGGTAGCAACTGTGGGGTTGCAAAATTATAAGAAAAGTGACCTTTTTGAGGAATTCAAAGGTAATAATGGCTTAATGCAAGTGGATGGAGCTGAGGCATAGCCAGATGGGACACTGGAGCCCACAGGGACCAGCCAGTTAAGGTTGGGCCAGGTGGAGAGGCGGCAGCAAGTAAGAGGCCAAGAACTTTGGCATGGCTGTCTAGATGGGTGTCGGTCAGCACCGTTGCTGGTGGGGGAGTCCGTGAGGAGAGCCCTTCTGAGCACCCTCACCCCCAGATGGCCTGGGGAACATGTGCTGGGGCTCAGAGTACAATCAGAACTTCACAAGCTCCCTGGGGAGCTCTGGGGCAGGATGAGACCCCCAGGAAGAGACAGGACCTTCG